AAAATAAAGAAACAGACAAACCCCAAAACAACCAAACACCTATTGAAGCCCTTTGCCCATGTAAACATACAGTATCTTTCAGCTATAGGGAGGAGCTTTACATCCTAATGGAACATATCCATCTATGGACCCAATCCTGAACGCTGCCTGTGACCTCAACAAACAGCAGCTATAAAGGACCAAGGACTATAAGCGACCCTATCCCAACACTTTAAAATTGAACACCAGACTTTTAAACATCTAAGAAAATCACTTGGATAATAAGAATGGAAGCATTGATAGCTGCCATTACTGTTTTAATGGGCCAGAAACAAACACTAGCTTGGTTTGAATCCAGGAGACAAAGAAAAACAATGCTGCCAAGCACACTTAAAATGATAAACTTAATATGCCAAGCATGATGATTATATAAATGAGAACTATGAAATAAATACCATTTTCAAAAGCATAACTGTTGCATAGAACAAAATGCACCTCAAATAATTTGCTCCTTAGAAGATTTGATTTCTGAAAATAAGAGGTCAAGAAAGAAAGAGTCAAATAGAAGAAAAAAGATGCAAATTCAGAAGAAAAAGGGTTAATGTTTTGTTTCAGTCAGTGTTATACCAATGCCAGAATTACAAGGGAAAGACTAAAAAGAGCCAATTTTTTTTCTTTATTATTATTCTTTAAAAGAAAAAATCATGCCTATCTGTCACAGGGTTGTCCGGGCTGGAAGAACCGGCAGGAACCTCAAATTCCTGACCAAACCCTCTTCCACACAATGCCTCCTGAATGGAAGGAACCGAGGCCCGGCAGAGATAGCCCCCTGTCAGGAACCAGCCCTGACGTTTGCGGACAGACGGGGCTGGCCTCGCAGGATGTCAGAGCAGCAAACTGCTGATCGAGATACTGGGTTTTCACACACTCCCAGCCTGGATGTTTTGCTCTTCAGGTAATTAAACAAGGAAACGGGGCTGATGTGTACGAGTCTGACCCCTGCGCCGCGGCTCCGCGGTTCTGCACATCAGCTTCCGCACCAGCCGCGCCAAGCACGGGCAGAGCTGCTCCTGCCGCTCCTGCCGCTCCCGGCACCGGCTCTGAAACAAATCCTCCTGCAAATACCTGCTGCTGTTCCCTCCCTCCCCCACCCCCAGTTTACGAAGGGCTACGTTATTTCCTGTGTTCCACACATCTTGATTTCTCATAAAAAAAAAAGAAGGAAAAAAATGAAATAAATGGGTACTCGGGTGAAGCTGTTCTTCAGCCAGCCATTCAAAATATTAAATTACTAGGGGGAGGGGATGAACAGACAGAAAGATGAGACAAGGGATTCCCAAATTAATGTTTAGTTTAAGGTCATTACTCAAAAAGATCCTGAAACATATTGCCAATTTTTCCAGCCAACAGCCAGACATTCACTTATTTAGGAATAAAATTATTCTGATTTAAGCATTATTGAAGAGTCTTTGTCTTACAAGTGCATATAAATCATAGACCTAAGCATTAGAAAAACAGACCAGTGTTTTCTCTTTTTCCCCAAATTTCAGAAATGGGAAAGGGCAGGTGTTACCACCTATGCTTGGCAGAAAACCCTACACAAGGCTGCTCTGTGACTGACCTAGTTTCTACGCTCTTTAAAGGCTATTTAAACAAAAATTATTTTTAAAAAGGTAACACATTCCTACTTCTTTCTGAAAAATCCACAGAATAGAATATTGGCTGAAAAGAGAAGAGCCGAGAAGAAAGAGGAGTACAAAAGCATGCCTGCTTGTCTGTGTTCAACACAAAGAACATTAAATGAAAACAACTGGCATGCTGCCAAATTCCTATACAGGCAAAGAGATTCAAATAAATTGATTTCACGCATCACACTGACCTGGGATCAGTGAGCAGTGGTACAATACACTTGCTGCTCCATGTGGGGCAAAGCCCATTAATGTTATCAGAGACACATTACATTGAGGGGGAGCAGGGAGAGGGGGCACAGAGAGAGAACCCAAACTCTGAATTCAGGGGGGAAAAATCACTTGAAAAAGGAACTTGAACTGGAGCACTTGGTTTCAGTTTACTAATAAATATATCATATTGCAAGAGCTTGTCCTCTGCTCACCTCAAAGGTTTCAAAGACTGTATTTTCAAATTAAAATAAATACTAATGTCAAATACACACATTCCCCTTACATTCTACTTTTAACACAGTTGTTCTCAAACTCACTTATTCTCTGTAAATTTCCTCCCTTCCCCATCCGCCAGCGTTTTATATAGATTATGGGTTATTTTCTTTGCACTTCAAAAGCTGGATTCTTGCCCAGGACACTCTCACTGGCTCAGAAAGCAACTGGAGAAATCGGCCCTGCTCTCAGCTGGCCCAAATCAACCTGACCTAGAGAGAAAAATGCTTTATTTGCAAGGTAGCAGCAAGCAGGGCACCAGTGTCCTTTGCAGGTCACCCATACATGGTCCCACATACCAGGGAGCTGTCTTCAAAGCAGTACTTTGAATTTCACTTTCTTACTAATGTGAAGTAACCCATGTTTGCTGTGGAGCCTCTCCTTGTCATCCTGGCTTTGTTTTTCATTAAGCTCTCTCACACTCCAATCAAGAGCAATGCCAGCAAGCCACAGGTGTGCACCACATGAACAGATGAAATTCTGATTGGAAGTACAATTCACTGTCTGTAATACAGTTGCATACTCTTTTGCATCAGTGGTATGTTTGAAGGGGACTTTTTTATTTTCACTGTACTCCTTAAGATACATTGGTAAGCAAACAATTGTTTTGAAGATAAAAAAGGAAGCTAAGAGAAGATGACTTTGCAATAGCAAAACAAAGATGAGGATGCTTGAAAGGTCACATCAGCAGAAGTAGTCATTGCTACAAGAGGCCATTGCTTCAAGGAGGCAATAAACTCAAAACACCTTTTTTTTTTGCCTCTTACACCAATTTAGGCTCTAAATAGCAAGGCAAATCTTGGGCACAGCAAAGTCCATACTAAGTTAAGCTCAGTGTTGGCTTCATCTCTAATTATTTAAAACTGAAATTTAAAACAAAAAATAATCATTGAAAATGTGGAACTTCTTAACCATTTAAGACTAAAATTTTTGAGCATGTCACAAATACATCCAGATGTAGGCATCTTACCCAGTCACCTCAATTCAAGTAAATGACAAAATGGGAATGGCCAAAGAACTGTTAACCCCCACTGATCACTCTCTAAGAGCTACAAAGCAGTTTTGAATTCTTCATTACCAAGGTGAAAACTATACAGTATTGTTAACTCTGTAAGAGGTGTCACAGAGAGATGTGTTTATTTAGGTATAAGGCTACAACTGATAAAACTGCACAGGGAAGGGAATCATGCAGTATACAGCAGCTTCACCATGGCAGAGATGTGCCTGCACCCAGACAATACAGAGAGCACAACCTGCACAACAGTGAACAGGAAGGATAAGGTGCTGTTCCCTTCTTTTTATGAATACTTCAGCAACCATCACATCAGTTGGACTTTATAGAGATGAAGTGAATTTTAGTCATATTAACTCCCTTTCTTTAAATTAATGGTATTAGAAAATAAGCCTTTCTCCCAAGTTGTAGGAAATTTCCATTATCTTGCACATGCTCTGACAGCAATAAACCACAATAAACTTCCCATTAGTACGCCAGCACTGCATGCTTCAGGCATGACATCTTTACTTTTACATTTATTTATTTTTAAAATCCTTTATGAAGACCCATATGGCAAAAGAAACCAACCAACAGCCACCTGTACAGGGTACATTTGCACTTTGAAAAATAAGACTGTAGATAGTGAAAAGGAAAAATTAGTCAGAAGCTATACACTGCTAAATAAGCAAAATCAAAACATAAGAAGAAACCCTGCTAAGATTATTCATTCTCTGCCAGTGCTGCCTGAGTACATGAAGGTCCCACAAAAGCATTTATTTGTTTTAAAATGAGATAGGAACTCAAGTTAGAATGCAACTTCATTTTTATTAGGATTTAATCTTTTAAAAGTATGTTCACACTGGTGCACAAAACCTCAGGCCTAGCCCTTTGCTACAAGGTGTTGTGCAGAGGCTCCCACTGGCTCTTTCAGCTGTTCTCCATCTCTCCACACCCCACAGGCAGAGCAGCATGGGCCATGGTACCTCAGGTGGGAAAACAAGTAATATGATCAAGGCTGAGCTACATTTAAAACTATCCAGGGCAAAGCCAAGAGTACTCAGACACCATTCATCTTATTTTGGTACCAGACTCTATCAAAGTTATGTCAGGCGATATGGTCCAACACTGAGAAAGAAAATTATCCAAGTGTTGGAAAGCACTTAAAATCAGTTTAGCAGTTGCTTGCCATCCAGACACACACCATTTTAGAAGAAAAAATGTAGTTACAGTAAAGACAGGAACGACTGCCATAGCTTATCTAGAAATTTTGTCCAGCAATAGCAGATTTACTTTTATAGCACGGTAAAAATCTTTGCGCACAAGAAGCAGAAATATCCATTTTCATTATCATCTCAATCAAATTTATCAGAGATTCCCAGTTTGATGCAATGAGTTTACCAGAGGATTCCACTAAATTACAAACAACCATTTTGCCAATGTGATTACAACTATCTCTTAACCTGGTTGCAAATACTATTCCAATTCACAGCTCAGAAAACTGAAAGTCACTATTTCCACAACCCAGCCAAGTACTATTGACATGACACATAAAGAGTAACTGTGTCATTAAAAACACAAAAATAACACCAAAGTTTAAAATTTCACGTAGATTTTCTGAAAGTCAGGACTGATGTATTTTATGAACATTGCAATACAAGTAAGAAAAGTACACTTTTCTTACTTGTATTAAACAAGGACCGCAACTTCATTGATTTAGGCAGACTCTTTGGAGCTAAAGGGAAAGATTTCTTTTTTAATTACAGTTTACAAGGCAAGGTACAGTCATTATATACACACGAATAACTTCTAAAAGGTATTCACATTATAAAATCAAATATTTTTCTGTTCCTTACCTTGACAAAATTCAAAGTTCCCTTTTTTCCGGCAGTCACCTATCACTAAACTCAGTGCTCTCCAAGTGTTTCTTTTGACAGATATCATTCTCCACCAATCGCTCTGCTAATTTCCTCTTTCCTTTTCTGACTGGGACAGATATTATGTTCACCAGCCCAGAGATCAATCTTTTCTATTGACAACAACAAATGAAAAAAAAAACAAAAAAAGCATATATCACAGCCAGTTTGAAGCACCACACCCCTTCATTTACATGATAATAGTAGTCTTAAATAAAAAGGGAAGGCAGAAACATTATTCTATAACAAGCAACCACATTTTCTTTGCTGAAATAAGGTAGTACTTTAAAACTGTATTAATTCTTCAACAAAGGTAGTTTCATAATTTGCTCAGTTAAAACAGCTGGCATATAGAAGGCAACAAATTAAGGGCAGCCTATATTCTACCCATTAGTTAATTCTCTAAAATGCTTAGGTTTAAATACATTCACATAATATAAAATATTTAATACTTTACCTGGTTCAACAGAAGCTCTAGAGAACCATTTATTAAATCAAAATGTTTACTAAAAATAGAGATCTTCCAATTTACACATCACCAATACTAAATTGGATTTGTAAGTTGTAACAGCAAACACATTTAAAGAAAGGCAGATCAAAAAGCTACTGATATATTTACAAATCATCTTCCCACTTTTGAAAAGGCAATTTCCCTCCCATTCCAACACCTAAAAAACCTGTTTATTTGGTTACACAAATACTCTGACATTTGTATAAGTCTGTATCACAGTGTTGTCAGTTTTTCCAAGGCATTAATATGCTTTTCAGGGGTTCATAATTATGTCAAGACAGAAAGTTTTTTCAGAGCCAAGCACACACAGTTACGTACATGCTTCAATCTGCAATGACTGTTCAAGTACTTCGGGACATCAAGTTAAGCATGCACAAGGATCCAGCCACAGCTCATGCATCTAACCCAGAATCCAGCCCCAACCCTCTCCTGCACTAGATCTTTCTGCAAAAAAACTTCATTGCCCAAGGGCATTTGCAAAAGAGCACATTTGTGTTTGTGCTTGAAACTGCAATCTTTCCCACAAACAAGCACCCTTCTCAAATCAAAACAAACCTTCCCAAGTTAAAGTTAAGGTTACAGAACAAAGGAATTCACCAAAGTCCTTTCTTTCTTTCCAGCAGTCGTGGTCGTACATTTCCCCACAGTCCTGAGAGAAGCCAAAATTCCAGATTTCAGTGAAAACAAGTGGTAAGGGCTGCAGGACTCTACCCAGAATCTGGCAACTGTGGAGCTCTCAAAGTGACACAACTGCCTCTGGCATTTGGAAAATAACCTCCAAAATGTGGTTAGGACTCCACAACTTGGGTACAATAACTGCTTTAATAAAATTTTTTTTATTTTGTATGTAATTCTCTAGTTGTCACAATGTTCTTACATAGGCAATGAATTTACCTTTCAGTTGTGCCCCTAGCATGAATTGTGTACTTTTCAATTGCCCAGACTTTTGCGTAACACTTTAAATTTCCATAAACGCATACAGCATTCTCTGAATTGTTGGTATTGTTTGATCTGATTTTTATGATCATAAACCCATAAATCCTACCAAAACTGAAAAATTCTCCACTGACCAAGTGGCCCTATTAATTTCACTGAGATAATTTAAACATTAAGTTTTCTACTAAGTGACAACAGCACAATCTGGCTGAAATACTGTCTTATAGTGGAATACATAATATTTTGGATTCAGAATTACACATTTGTAAAGATATAGTCATGTTTTGCTAACCTATTTTAATTTGGTCACTAGAAACAATTATGGTCAAATATGTTAAACTATGTAATATATAAAAATTCTATATTTCTGCTGAATAGCATACTCATTTTCCATAGCTGGTAAAAGATTTTAAACATCTTACTGCAAAAAAGTTATTATTAAAAAAAAAATCTGTCATCCACTTTACAATGAAGACATCACTTCAATTTGCTACTCTTCCTTTGTTTCAGGCCCGTGTTCATTTTTTCTATTTACCACATTTTCCAAAGTGATGGATGCATTTTCCTATACCCATTCTACACTAATCTCCTTCTTTAAATGTATTTTTGCTTCCTGAATTGTAAACTGATGCTGTTGTTCGAATGTACATGTAAAACTGTCTAATGTCTGAACTTCAGTGAAAGCAGAATGCCTCAAACAATTTGTAATCTTACATGAGTGTTATAAAAAAGGATCAACATGTTGTATTACCATGGAAATTTTGAAAAACATACTTTCCCAAACAAATATTACTTTTTCTCAATGGTATGAAGTAATGAAAACCACATGTGTAAATCTGCGATCCGTGCAGTAGTTCAAGCTGCAGCTAATAGAAAATACAGAGAGTGAACTCTGCCATATAAAGGATTCTTGTTACAGAAATATAATGTGAAAACCAGATGCAGACAGAAAACCTTAATCACAGATGGGAATGTAATCACTGGCATACAGAACACTTTTTTGATCAATCTCAACCATATGAGAAATGTATTTATTTTCTAAGGAATGCAATAACTCTAGAGAGTCTTCTATTTGAATTCAGTTAACCTCATATTCACAGTGCTTTTATCTTATATGTGTAGAGAAGGGGGATATCCCCACCCGAGCCAAGACTTTTAGAAGAGCCATTGGCCCTGGCAAATCATGGTTGCATCAGCTTATCTTTCAAGGAATTAATAGGATGTAAAGACTACAAATATCAGGATCAGCCACAAATGAAATGAACCATCATTGTACTCCCTAGTTACTGCCAGAAATCCCTTCATCACCTAAGCACTTCCCCAAGTTCTCCCTTTAATATGCGGATCTTCCAAAATATAATGCTAAGAGCAAACACAGTGTCGCACTCAAGTTCTGTGAATCCGAACTGGAGTCCTACAGCAAAGAATCTCTCTCTCTCTTTAAAAGCTGAAGAATCATCAGTCCAAAAAACAAGTTTACCTGGGGCTTCCTCCTGACTGCTGGAAGTCCCTCCACCCACACAGCCCCCGGGGGTTAGCAGGAAACAAAGGAGCACAGCGCAGGGCAGCTATCCAGCCACATCAAGTGTCTAAACTCTCTTTTACCAACTCTACCAATGCAAGACCAAAGTAACTCCTGTCAGTTTTCACTGCTGGTGACATTACTATTACAGTAGTAGTAAATGCATCATGTAAAATAGGGACTGACACCTCACAGTGCAATACATATTAAAAAAAAAAAAAAGAACCACAAGCAAAACCAAAAACCCTAACTTCTACTCAGAAATAAAACTTAAGAGAGAAAAGGTATTCAGAGATTTTATTTCCTGGCAGCCCCCAATCCCTGCTGCACCCACCTCCTGATGCACCCGAGAATCCACAGCACTGCCTGACTGTCACAGTTCACAACTGAGCTTATTAAGGTAACCTAAAGTTGGTATAAATTTATTTTAATAGCATAATTAAGTAACACAAACCACAATGATTTGGTAGCTGTTACACCGAGGTAGAGAAGGGATGACAGAAACCCTTTGACAGGCACAGGGTAAGCAGATTCTCCCTCTCTTACAGTCTCCAAGGCCATTTGCCATCATTTCATTTTTGATGCCTGCACTAAGAGGACCCAGTCACTTCAGTACCCTACCACAGGGCTTACAGAAATAGCACATCACAGGTGTCCATCATACTAACTCTGCTGAAGTTCCTGTAAAGATGCTTTCTTAATTTAATGCCTGTAATGCTAGGTGAATTTTGAAGTCTGCTACTAGTTTTTTTCCTCCCATGTTAACAACTCATTTGATAAAAAACTTTGATTTGACCACTGCAACAAAACAGTTTTTAAAGCATCTTGTCTCTTCTGAGACTTAACTTTAAATTTCTGAGACTGCAGCACTAATAGATATCGCAGAAGTCAACATTTAACACTTAAGTAATATGGGATGGATATGCTTGTCTTATTTCTAAACAAGCATGCCTAGATTAATAATAAACTTTGGCCAGATACATATTTTCATTTGCATGTTTTTCATATAGCCTCATCATCATGTGTGTGTAGTGCTAAAAATGGACTGAAATCTTCCAGCTGAAAACAGTTCCACGTGACAAAACAGAGAGGGATCCTGAAAACTCCTGCTTCATGTCATGTGCGAGTGTGTGTGCCTGTGTCTTTTTTTTTTTACTCTCATCTAATTTCATCTGCGAGAGACTGTCCCTAGAGGACAAGACAAGAGAGAACCAATTATATCCAGCAGTTGGTTTCTCCAAAATGAAGGCATCTGTTCCATGCCAACGACTTCCACACGGAAGAAAAACAGAACTTTGAAGGCATCTGCGTTCATGGTTGACAGTTGCAGATCTTAGGGTCTACTGTAATTGCCCAGCTGCAAACATGATTTGGTTGCTGCTGTTGTCAGCTGATCTCCTTGCACTGAAAAGAAGGGAGCTTAAATAGCAAATAGCTGGATAAAAATCAGATATTCTTCCACAATACTGACACCTTTTCTCTTCTGAAGGAGGTATTTTTCCTGGTACAATAGGTTTGATGGAAGTAAATTGCAAAATGGTTCTTAAACCAACATTTTACAAAATATTCTACTTTAAAATGCTATTCTTTAAATAATGTACCAGTCCAAGCACAATGTGTTCATTATCTGCCAGCATTTCAGGCTGGTATTTTCTAAGAGTGATTCAGAAACCGGTGTGATTCATCGACCACATAATCCTGCAGCCCACCTTATTTAGTCAAGTAGTCTCGGTAATATCAAGAGTACACCTGAGCAGAAGCTCAGTTTTCACCCCAAATGCATATGGCAAATAAATAACTAGTATATTTACTACTTAACTCACATTGCTTCCAACATGAGTGAATAATTTCCAAAAGACACTTTAAAGAAACATTACTGGTAATTCAAAATCTGGCTTACAGCACTGGGTGTGCACTCACATTTGCAGTGAGATACTCAGCAATGCTGTGCACCTTCACTGCTAAAAAAAATCAAGCAAGTTGTTAACAAGAAGCTCATATAAAGTAGCAAGACCTGAACTGATTTTCCAAAGCACAGGACTGAGTGCCATTTAGAGATCCATGGCTACTCATGGTGCAGTTGCAACAAAGACAATTAAAACTGGCCTAAGCAGAAAATACACTGACATTCTCTATCCTCGACT